GGAGGATCGAGGAGCGGTGGCACTCAAGGGTCAAGGATTAGGGTTCCCCTGTGCTGGCAGCCGCTGGGCCTTCGACCGTCGCCCGAGGATCGAGAAGGGGCGGGGGGCTCTTGCTTTAGCACTGCGCGCATTCGTTTCAAACGCTTGCAACGGTTACAAGGATCGAGGGCGGTTCCTTTTCAAAAGTGCGACCTCGCTTTAGCGCCGAGTACCCTTGATTTACAAGATGGGTGTAGCTACATGGATGGATGACGGCTCTTTTTCAACAAGGGGTTCTCGCTTGATTTTTAAAATCCATGGCCAGAAGTGTAGATTCGTACACCAGTCACGCAGATTAGGGCAGTACTTGGTCAAACAAAGGATGATGTTCGGTACCTCGCTAAACTGAATGATCATATCGTATCGTATGCTGTTTTGTTCGCTAGAATGATGCAAGGCAGCTCATGTTCAAACCGGGGCTCTCGCCTAAATGGCGGGCCAATCGGGTGCTGGTCTGTTAAGGTAGCGCGTGTTGCAGTGAAAAGGAAGGCTTGTGAGTACCTGTGAGGGGGGGACTTGGGACGGGAGGGTTTTTTGCAGCATCGTTGATGCATATTGGCTTCACTCTGGTCCTCCTCCTCCCTTCTCCTCGTCCTCCTCCTCATCCTCCTCCTCTTCCTCCTGCTGCTGCCGCCGCTCTTTTTAACAGTCATCATCATCCTCATGACGCTGCTGATTCCTCGTCGTCCTCGTCCCCTCCTCCTCCTCCTCCTCCTCCTCCTCCTCCTCCTCCCCCACTTTTCCCCACAAACGCCAACAAGACGGTGGCGATCGCTGGCATCTCGTGGCGCCTCGACAGAGCATCGGTTCAGTATGGGGACTGGTACAGTAGTGTACGCCAGGCGTGCGGCATTCGTCGTTGTTCTGGGGAGCACTTCGCCCCAGGCCACGTTCATCGGGCCCATGGTTGGCACTCAGAGGTTACGGCTTGCTGACCGTCGTGAGAATACTCTTCACGAGGGTGTCCGATGGAGCAGCAGCTTGAACACAATGGCCACCCGTGTCGGGCGCACACAGCACCAGTATGAATCGGGCATGGAAGTTGCATGGTGGATTTTGTTGAGAAAATCCCACGGGCATTCTGCACTTGCTGCGTTGTCCCGCATGTTAGGGTGCTTTGGCGCGACTAGGCTCGCCACCGTGTTCTGTGTGGGTTGCAAAGCATGTTGGGCGCGTTGTTCCTATTGGAGTTGGGCGCTTGCGTTCTCTTCGCTGCGGCGCACGATCCGTCCTCCTCTTGCTTCTTCCCACGGTTTGTTGCTTGTTCCTGTAAGCCTCTTCATGGCCTTCTTCTGCTGGCTCGTGTGGGCAGACCCGTGTCTCCAGCGTTTGGCCGAAGTGCTTCCGCAATTCAAATTCGTGTCCAATGAGGGACGCATCACTTGTTGGCATTATTCAGAGTTGAGCAGAGTTCGCGGACCCCTTTGGATTTCCGATGCATCGACCAGCCAGTTCTCCTACGACTCCTTTTCCTTTGCCATTTTTTTGGGGGGGGAGAGGGGTACGTGGTACATATCGCCCTCAGCCCGTCCAGGTTCACATCCGCCCATCAGTCTTCAATTCACAGCCGGGTTGACACCCGTGCGGTGCCGTAGTCTCTCCACATTGAAAGAAATCAGGTGGCGTCAAGCATGTCGCGTGAAATTATTGTCGCGATTCCCGTTTGCATGAGTGGTCCCCTCGCTGACTGCTGCCAGGCCCAGAAGAGCCTCGAGCAGGCCAAAGGGAATCAAGTCAAGTGCTTGCCTGCTCTTGCAGATTTGAGGGATGATGCTCCAAGGGGCTCTGACGACCAGCAGGGAATGACCAGCAGTATGACAGTATGGCGTTGGTGATGCTGATGATGCTGCTGATGATGATGATGTTGATGATGATGATGATGATGATGATGATGATGATAGTGAAGGTGATGGTGATGGTGATAATGTTGATGCTGCTGATGATGGTGGTCATGATTTTGCCGATGACGATTGCAGATGATGCGTATGATGATGCCGATGATGGTGGTGCGGATGAGGCTGCGGATGAGGATGAGGACTGGGATAAGGATGAGGAGGAGCAGGAGGAAGGTGATGATGATGTTGCTGATGATGATTGTGATGGTGATGGCGATGACGATAATGATGATGTTGATGATAATGATGATGATGGTGGTGGTGGTGATGATGATACATATGATGGTGATAGTGATAGTGATGGTGATGGTGATGATTGCGGTGATGATGACGACGATGATGAGGACGAATATCATGATGCTGAGGATGATGACGATAATAATAATGATGCCGATGATGATGATGATGATGATGATGATGATGCTGATGATGATGACGAATATGATGATGCTGACGATGATGACGACGATGATGCTGATGTTGATGCTGGTGCTGATGATGATGATCGTCGGCAGTGGTGGTGATTATGATGATGATGATGATGATGATGATGATGTTGTTGCTGCTGATGGTGAGGATGGTGGTGATGATGATGATGATTATGATGATGATTATGATGATGATGATGATGCTGATGCTGATGATGATGATGATGATGATGATGATGATGATGATGATGATGATGATGCTGATGATGATGATGATGATGATGATGATGATGCGGATGAGGGCCAGGCTCAGTGTAAAGATGGGCAACGCACTACTGTCACGCAGCGTTTCCTGGAAACCAAAGTAGCCTGTGAGGCTCGAACTGGTTCAGTGCCGTGGAGGCGAGAGCTTGCCCCACTTGACGGCAGGAACAGGGAAAAGGTTGCATAGTCATGGGGAGGTGTGCATCATCGTGGGATCTGGTGGGGTGGGATAAGCATGGTGAGCATATTGGAACGTGATGGAGGAGGGGAGGGGGAACTGGGCGGTTAGCGACTGCAATGTGCGCGCGGATGCGCGTGTGCGTGCGTGTGAGGAGGGGAGAAGACATCAGGGATGAGCTCAGGTCAGCGGAGGGGGCGGACGCGAGGACAAAAGCTTGCACCGCGCGTCTTCCTCTCCCTCTCCCTCCTTTCTTCATTCTCCTGCTGCTGCTCCTCCTCCGCCTCCCCCTCCTCCTCCTCTGGGGTCCCGAGGGCCTCCCCCCCTAGAGACGCAAAGCAGGCCACAAACTCCTGAACACCTCAATCGTCCAGCCTCCTTCTCGCCCTCCTCCGTCTTCTCCTCCATCTCCACCTCCTCCTCCTCCTCCTCCTCCTCGTCATCATCATCATCATCATCATCATCATCATCATCATCATCATCATCATCATCATCATCATCATCATCATCATCTTCATCATTCATCATCATCGTCGTCGTCATCATCATCAGCAGTATCACCATCATCGTCGTCGTCGCCACATCATCACTTTACTATTACCGTCACCATCACCGTCACCGTCACCGCCAGCACCACCATCATCATCATCATCATCATCATCATCATCATCATCATCATCATCATCATCATCATTATCATCATTATCATCATTATCATCATTAGCATCATCATCATCATCATCGTCATCGTCATCGTCATCAGCATCCTCATCATCCTCATCATCGTCGTCGTCATCATCACCACCACCACCATCATCATCACCAGCAGAAACAGCATTAGCATCATCATCATCAGCAGCATAGTCATAATCAGCATCATACTCAGCATCATTCCCATCATCATCATCAACATCATCATCATCACTATCATCATCAGCATCATCATCATAAGCATCATCGTCTTCATCCTCATGATCATCATCATCATCACCATCATCATCATCACCATCATCATCATCATCATCATCATCATCATCATCGTCGTCACCATCATCATCAGCAGCAGCATCATCATCATCCTCTATGATTGAGATCCGACGTAGCGAACAAACTGTAACATTGTAAAGGTCACGCCCGGAGCCCTAGACCCCACCTTCTTGCGTCATTTTTCGAGCCAGATCGATTTGTGAGGGTTCAGGGGCCCGAAATAAGGCGAAAACGCCCGGCTCGAAAAATTGAGGCGCCAGGATCTCAGGGCTCCTTCCTCCTCGGCCTTCAGCCCTACCCGAGGCTGGCAACCAGACCGCGCAGCAGCGCCAGCCGACCTCGCGCGCGGACGCGCCAGCCGCGAGCAGGGAGGCATAGGGAGGGTCTGAGGCGGCCCGGTGGACCCCCGGCAATTCTGGGTGATCTTCAGGACATGTCTTACGGTCGGACATAGGGCAGAAGAACATCCTTCAAGGACATGCGACCCTCCACTGGTCAAAACACCCCAAACCCCAAGATCATTCGAGGGTGCCATCCCACAGGATGCACAAGAACATCCAACAAACACGAAAATCATTAGGGCACCCTCCCCGAACCGACCTCGATCTTATACTTTGGTCCGACCGTAGCCCAGTACTTCGGGTGTTGCTTGAAGTGCCCCTGGTCCAGGGTGCCCCCAGGATTTTCAAGGCGGCCCCCACGGCCTCCAGAGCACCCCTCACTAACCCCAGAGGGCACCCCAGGAGCTCCAAACTGGAGCGAAAACTGGGGGCATCTTGGGCCAGGGGTACCTCTAGCAACCCCCGACCAGTGTGTGTGCGTGTGTGTGTGTGTGTGTGTGCGTGTGTGTGTGTGTGTGTGTGTGTGTGTGTGTGCGTGCGTGCGTGCGTGCGTGTGTGTGTGTGTGCTAACCTCGTGCAGCTCCACCGGCACCGCGCAGCCTGTTCTGGCCCCTCTCTTTTTGGGTTTCGCGGATACACCTGCTAAAGGCTCCTCCCCACTCGGGGAGCGAAATAATTGGCCGTTGTCAGCCCTTCGGACTGGAGCCAAACATGCTGCGTCAGAGTCGCAATGACACCGCCTGCGCGGTATGAAAGTGCCTCGGCGGCGACACGCTGTTCGTCGCGGCGCGGCGGGGGGCAATCCGCTCGCGCGCTCGAGTTGCCCGGGGCGCTCGGCAGAGCCACCAGTCGGCTGCACAGGGCAGGCAGACAGGGCGGGGGGGAGCGTCCGCGGCCTCGGCGGCAACGCACATGTTGGCGCCAAGTTCCGCGGATCATCGGAGGCTGGCCCCTTCCGTGCCGAGCCCCCCTCGCCTCGCCCGAAGACGTGGGCGGGCGGGCGGAGGAGAGCCTCGAGGGCGAGGGGGGCACGCCACCATTGAGCTCCTTCCTCCTCCTCCTCCTCCTCCTCCTCCTTCTCCTCCTCCTCCTCCTCCTCCTCCTCCTCCTGGCGCTTCCTTTTTTTCACAGCGGATGCCCTTGCCTCGTTTCGGGCCCCAGGGCCCTCGGAGATCGATCCGGCCCGAAGAAGGCCGCAGGAAGAGGGGAGAGCATGCTGCTTCGCATGGGTCTGAGGCCAATGAAGGGAAGATGAGTTGGATCCGTCAGTGGATCAGTCCTGTGCACGGACGTAAGAGCTTTGATGTTTTTGTTGTTCTTGGTAGTTGGCGAGCTAATGATGCCAACGCCCACCCCGTCCCGTCTCCAGGGACTTCGCATCCCCCTGTGATGGTGTGATGGGGAGACGGTCCGCCGCCCCCTGCGCTGCACGTACTGCGCAGGGTTAGTGGTCATTTGAGAGCGGGGGCCTCGCGGCGGCCGCCCATGACCTCATGGCGGCCAGACGTGACCTCACGGCGGCCACCTGTGACCTCACGGCGGCCACCCGGGGCTTCATGGCGGCCACCTGGCGTGGGTCTGTGGTAGTCCCGCCCCCAGGACCTGGACCTATGGCAGCCCCAGTGCGCCCGAGTGTCGATTTGTCTTGGACGTTGCAACTTTTCGCAACGTCGGATGTGAGGGCTGGAGACAATGGCAGGTGGCCGGAGGAAAGCCTCGAGGGCGAGGGGGTCGTCACGGAAGAGGCTCGTCACGGAAGGGGTCGGCCAGGCCCCGCTGTGGAGGGACAAAGGGGAAGAGGCCAGCAATCAGATCACGCCCCAGCGGCATATAACCATGCGCGCGGACGAGCCACCCGTGAGATGGAGGGTCGAAGAGGAAATGCACCATGGCCGCACAAGGCCCCAATCAGCTCTTCAGAGGAAGTGTTAGTCAGCGCGGGCCCCCTAACAGTGTGTTTGTAGCAATGTATGTTGTGCAATCTGCGTGGAGCAGTTCAATTGTGGAACTCGCAGTTGTCAACCCCACTGCTCGCGCAGTCATCCCACCCACCCACTCGCAACTTGTTTTGCAAAAAGCATGCGGCGGCGATTGCGATGCGTGCTTGGTGTTGGCTGGTGCGTCTCTGCGGCGGCGCTAGCCCGCGCATGCTCGCGCTCGCAGCGGCCAGCTAGTTTGGCGCGACCGACGCAGCCGCGGCGGCGCTGGCCTCTGTGCACCTTGTCAGCGGGCACTTCAGTGCGAGTCGGCCACTTGGGCGGGCGCGGTATCATGGCAACGTAAACAACGATAGACACAATGATGATCGTAGCGACTTCGGTGACGATGATATCAACGTCGACGGCACGGCCAGTGACGGCGCCGATGCTGATCACGGCGACGACGATGACAGCGTCCTCGCGTCGGTGATGGAGTTTTTGGGAGATGCGCGCGCGGCCGACGCGAGAGAGTGGCCCGCATGGCATTATTTGACACGGGTCGTGCCCCCCAGCACGCGCGCAAAGGCGTTCGAATGATGCTGGCATGCGGCGCGAAAGGCCCGTTGGGCCGAAGTTAATAAAACTGGTGAGAAACACCGATGGTTTCCCAAGGATTTCGCAAGAGCGCGAGCGCAGCTTCTTTTGAACATTGATGTTGTAAAACCATATGTTTTATATGTTTTCGGCGCGCTCGATTTTGAGCTTTTTACGACACCAAGGGTGTTTGAAGGATTCCGGCATGCGCGCGCGACGACGCGCGCGTGTGCACATCGTCCCGCTGTCTGAAGAAATGTGTGCGTCAGCACGCGCGCCTGGCGTGCGAGCGATTTCGACATGCGCGCGCGAAAGGCCCATGTGGTAGCATGTGGTGAAATTGTTGACAACCTATGGTTTCCTTTTCGAAGTCGCAAGAGCGAGGGCGTATTTTTTTGGAAAACAGATGTTGCGAAACCATGTTTTCTTTTTTTCCCCGGGGCGCTCGATTTTGAAATTCTTGCGACGCCAAGGGTTTTTGAAGGATGTCTGCATGCGCCCGCGACGACGTGCGCGCATGCACTTCGCCAGGTCTGTTGTAAAGAGTTTTTGAGACAACACGCGCGCAAGGGCGTTCGAATGATTTCGACATGCGCCATTTGGTAGCATGTTATGAACATGGTGACAACCAGTGGTTTTCCTCAGGATCTGCGAGAGCGCGAGCGCAGGCTTTTTGTTTGAAATCCTTGTTGCGAAACCTTGCGTTTGTATATGCTTTCGGGGTACTCGACTTTGAAGTCCTTGCGAAACCCGAGTGTCTTGATTGATTTCGGCACGCGCGCGCGACGACGCGCGCGCGTGCACTTCGCCCCGGTTTTGCAAGGGAGCCGTGGGAATTTATGTTTAGATGGATATTGCGCGCGTAAGCTTTAATTTATTTCTCAGAAGGATGAGGGTTGGCCGTTACCGGTTTGGCTGGGAGGATACGAAATCATATTTAGGACGGACGATGGGGCAGAATCGTACATAGTTGCAATACGAAAAGGTGAGCGTTAATTCCCGGGGGGGGGAGGGGTACATCCTCATTCTCTTTTAGAAAGGAGAATCGGCGTGGTGCAATCTATGTGGTGCAATATGCGGTACAATTAATGTGGTGCCACCTGTATGGTGCGATCTCTGTTGTTCTGTCTATGTTGTGCAACCTATGTCGCGCGATCTATGTTGTGCAATCGATGTGGCGCAATATGCGACGGGCAAGATATGATGGGTAATCCATGTGGTGCGATCTACGCGGTGCAAGCTCTGCGGTGCAATCTATGTAGTGGAGTTAATATTTGACCGTCTTGATGCTGTCCTCTCCACCTTTCGTGCAAACATCCCACCCTCCCACCCGCAACTTGGTCGCAAGACCTCTTAAGACAAGACCGTGACGGTACGTACCACATGACACTTGGCCACGACACCGACGCCGACGACGACACCGACGACGTTTCCAACGACTTCGACGACGACAACGTCGACACCGACGACGACAACGACGACGACGTCAACGACGCCGACGACGACGACGACGGCGACTACGACGACACCGACGACGTCTCCGACGACTTCGACGACGACAACGACGCCGACGCCGACGACGACGAAGACGACGACGACGTCGCCAACGAAGACGACGACGAGGGAGGAGGAAGGACGACGACGGCGACAACGACGACAACGACGACAACGACGACAACGACGACAACGACGAGGGAGGAGGGACGACGGCGACGACGCGAACGACGAAGAAGGAGGAAGGACGGCGGCGCCGACAACGACAACGACTCGGGAGGAGGGAACACGACGACAACGGCCACGACGACGACGGCGACGAAATAGGAGGGACGACGACGAGACGCCGACGACGGACGACGACGACGACGAGGGAGGAGGAGGAAGGACGACCACGGCAACAACGACGACGAAAACGACCACGACGCCAAAGAGGACGACGACGACGAACACGAGGAAAGACAGAGGACGAGGTAGACGACGACGACGACGACGACGCGGGAGGAGGGAGGACGGCGACGACGACGACGACGACGACGCAAGAGCGCGCGCGCACGCTTTTGTTGAAAATCTGTGTTGCGAAACCTTGTGTTTTTGTATGTTTTTTGGACACACGATTTTGAAATCCTTCCGAAGCCGATGGGTTTTGAAGGTGTTCGGCATGCGCGCGCGACGACGCGCGCGTCTGCACTTCGTCCCGTTTTTTGCAGAGGATTCTCGCGACGGCACACGCGCAAGGGCGTTCGACAGATTTCGACATGCGCGCGCGAAGCCCGTTTAATAGCACTTTGTGAAAATCTTGAAAAACCAATGGTTTTCTCAAGATGTCGCAAGAACTCGCGCGGAAGCTTTTTTAGCAAATCAGTGTTGCGATACCCTGTGTGTTTATATGTTTTTTTGGAAACTCGATTGCGAAATCCTTCCGGCACCGAGGGTTGTTGAAGGAATTCGGCATGCGCGCGCGACGACGCGCGCGTGTGCACTTCGTCCCATGTTTTGC